GAACGATCATCTCTAGGATGCTGTCACTGCATTCTGCTGTCTTCCCATTCAGCTAGTACCTTCCTAAATCACTAGCTTTGGTCACTGAGAGAGTCTTCTAATTAAACTTTCTGACATAGTTATCACTCCCTTCCTTTACTGCCCACAGGGTAAGAGAATACTCACTGGCATAGGCCGCGGTCAGGAGACTGGACCTCATTCTGTTCTCTCTAGCCTCGGCAGTCATCTCTGATTCACCTGTCTTTGTTCCAGCAGTAGACTGTGACTTTCTATTCTCTTAAGTGTACCAGTTTATTAAGTTTCCATAACTTTGTAGATGCTGTTACTCTGCCCAGAAGAGCATTTCTTCATATTCACATGCCTCATTTTTACTTATGGTCAAGATAAATGAAAGACACACATGCTATTTACTACTTCTTGCCAAGACAAATGAAAACATCACACCATGGTAGCCTGTGCTGTTTTCCACTGAGTGCGGTTCTATGCTTTCATAGAATTCAGTGTATCAGCCCTTATACAATTGCACTCTGATAAGGATTTTCATTTGTATTTCCCCCGTAAAGTAAAGAGCTATGCATTTCTGTACGTTTAGTACTCAGCACATGTCTGGAGCACAGTAGGCACTCTGTCAATTCATTTTTTTTTTTTTTTTGGTACTGGGGATTGAACTCAGGACCTTGCTCTTGCAAGACAGGTGGCAGAACCACTGAGCTAAATCTCGGCCCTCAGTGCATTTTTTAAATGAATGAGAGAATGACTAATGTTAACCAGAAGATTTTTTTTGGTCACTGAAAAAAATGGCCTAGTGATATTAAAATGGGCATTCAGTAGCACAATAGAAACAAGCAAATGGCTTGGCTGATAATATGCCACAAACTGTCTTCTGTTTTATGCATAAAACATAGTGTTTCTGATAGTATACCAAACTTTGTTTTAGTCTATGTGTGCAAATAGTACTTCTTAAAAATATTAGGGAAAAGTTTTCAGGTGTGATGGCATGTGCCTGTAATCCCAGCATCCAGAGACTGAGGCGGGATGATCAGTGAGTTTGGGGCCAGCCAGGGCTACATAGTGAATTCAAGCCTACATAGTGAGGCCAGCCTGAATTGCATAGCAAGACCCCATCTCCAAAAAAAAAAAAAAAAAAAAAATCAGAAAATTAATGAAAGTATATCTAAATTGGTAAAGAGACCTAAAGGACCATGTTATTTTATATTTGATTGCCTGGAAGTTACACATATCTAACATGTTAAATTTGGTTCCATTATATGTGTAAAGGTCCTGAGTTCAATCCCTGATACCAGAAAAAAAATGTGTAGCAGAGTAAAAAAGCCTATTATATTGAATTATATTGTGATTAAATTTATCCAAGAGAACTTGTGCAAGCAAGACAAGCATTAAGTAAGTCTGTTATCTATTTTGGAAAGGAAGTGGCTCTTTGCTCTGAGACAGTCCTACATAATGTTATACTTTAAATGAACAAAATTAATTAGCACATGCCAACTAAAACAGGAGAAAGGCCAGAAGGAGTAGAACAAATAGAGAACATGTGTAGGTCATAGTAGGTATGGAGATGGCACCATTTGGAAAGTTTCATTTGGTGATATCTCAGGTACTTGCTTCACATTTTTATCTTCTGGTGATGAACATTTTAATTAATAACTTTGACAGAGACATATGGTCAAATTTGTGTGTGCCCTAGAGAGGCATAGCAGAGATGATGGTGGATTGAAATTTTGAATAAAATGTTCTTGACCATTGATCAAACCAACTAAATAATGCTTATTACACAAATGTGACTTTTTCTAGATAGGCTAAAAACTAAGTTTCATAAGGATAGGAAAGCAGTGACTTTTGTTAATTGCTCAATGAAAAAGACCAGAGAGTTTTAATTGCTCTCCAACTAAGTAGGAATCCTCAATATATTGTGAGAGGAAGCATGATGTGAAGCCCATATATATTTATTCTCAGGATTGTGACTGATTCTTTTTTTTGGTACCGGGGATCGAGCTCGGGTCCTTAGCTTGCGAGGCAGGTGGTGGAACCACTGAGCTAAATCCCCGGCCCTATTGTGACTGATTCTAAGATCACTGAACCACTTAGTCACTATGGCCAAGCCATGTATCCTTGGTTTTTTATCTTTAAATTGCTATTAATTAATAAATAATGTAGGAGGTTATTGTGAATATAAAATGAGATAGTGCATATGCAGATAATTAGGAAAATGCTAGTTTTTATTTTGTGAATGCTAAAAAATTAATGCAACACGAGACTGTTGTAGTGGAGGTATAGTATTCAAGCCAAGCACAGTAAAAGTCATGGTAGGCAATGGTTAGACCAATTGATTACAAATTTGTTGAGGGCAGTGATTGTGTCTGAGTCATTTTTAATTCTCTAATGCAGTGCCTAGCACCTCTTTGATCTTGAAAAGAATATTTTGAGAAATAAATTCATTTGGAATATTAGATCTTGGAGGAGTCACATTTAAAGAGACAAAGGAAAAGAGACCAAGAAAGAGATACATCTAGGGAATATTATATGAAGATTAATTAAAACAATTGAGCATATATAGCTGGGGAAAAGAGCCTTGTAAAAAACCAAACCAACAAACAAACATCTAGGAAAACAGAGTACTATGTACTTAAGTTCTTTGTGAATACAAAAGATCAGGAGCAATAAAGGAGTCAGAATAGGTTAGTGACTAAAGGAAAATCATGTTTTTTTTCTCTCAATACCTCTAAAAGGTTATCAAATGTGAGGGCCCAGCAGTGATACAGATCTTCATTTCTGTTCTTTTTTCATCTGCTATGTCCCTGTAAGCAAGTTATTTATCCTAAACCTCAGTTTCCTATTCACATATCAAGGAAAATAATCATATGACCTACTTCCTGCGGATATTTTGGAGGAAAATGATACATGCTAAGTACTTTTCTGCTGGGAGTGTTGAAAAACTACTCACCATGCCTATGTTTCAAAAATGACACTAGGGGGAGCTGGAGAAATGTTTGGAAGAATTCAGAACTGTCTAGGCTGGATGTGGGACAAAGATTTAAAAATCTTTGTTTTTGTTAAACTTGTCACCACTACATATGTTAAGTGGTCTCACAAGATTTGTGTGTTAAGTGCAAGAAGTTAATGAATAACTCATTTTAAAATGGATTCTGAATGGTAGAGCTGTCAAGGGCAAAGTTTCTCAGGGATGGGGTTGGGGCTCCCTGCATCCTCTACAGTGCCTCCTGCTCTTGGCAGTCCACTCCCGTGATAAACTGAGACCCTCACATAGCTTTGGTGGCGCCTATGCCATCTTTTCTATTATATGCTTCACTCTGCAGTGAGCACACTGTCTTCAAGTGGATCAAAGTGTTTACATTTATCTATTGAATATAACCTTAAAACAAGTTTGGAACATGATATCCTTACGGGTTGCAAACAGTTGTGTATTTAACCCTTTAATATCCAATACGGATTAATTAAGTCAGATTTTAATTTAGCTTTTCCAATCAATAGGCAAATATCTCTTATCTTAAAATATCAGACACTGAGAGTAGGATAATATAAATGTTTGGGGGAAGAAATAGCTTCTTAGGATTCATCAAATCATATTTTTGATAGGTTACTCTAAGTAACTCATTTCTTCTGCTAACAAATTAGTAATAAATAAGGAACATTTGACTTTAAGCATTAAATTTCAAGTTAGATAATAAAACAAGAGTGGGAAATTTATTATGTAAAGTTATTATGATTTCTACATTTTTTTTTGGTATTGGGGATCTAACTCAGGTCCTTAGGCTTGTAAGGCAGGCAGCGGAACCACTGAGCTAAATCCCCAGCCCTCTACATTTTTTTTTCTTGGGTTAAAAATCCACCTGGGTAAAAAAAAGAAAAAGAAAAATCCCAGTTGGAATCTACATGTGAATCCAAAATGGACAAAAATCACATGGAGATCAGTAGTTAGTAAGAAATGAGTATGATTCAACCTGTTTTTCTAGTTTTCTTCTCTGCAAAGCTACCTGTCTCATAGGAATCAATTTCTCAATTGTTAACTCTGAATGTGTATACATAGTTGAATTAACAGATTTTTAAATTTGGTATTTGTGCAATGTTTGCTAAACTTGTCTAATGATAGAATTCGTTTGAGATTCTTATTAGAAATCTTCAAGATATTGTGATCCTTCAAGCCTAGTAACCCATACTTTTAAGAATCCCTCTGTTTCTGGTGGCCATGCATATTTCAGAAACTTAATATTAAATAAATCTCTTTTGGCATGAGGTTCAGTTTGAATTGGCAAAATACATATTCTGGATGACTTTGCCATCTCCCTGACTGGCCAGCATTTAGGAAGAACCCTTTGGATGCTTTCTGCTAACATGAGAGTCTGCCCTTCATGGATCCGAACCTTTTTCTCATCTCTGGATTGTTCTCAAGCATTTCATTTACTCACCTAGATATACCTGATGCATGATCCTAAAGTTACTGTTCCTATGTTTCGAACAAGAAAGCGAGTGTGGGGATGTTTATAAGGAAGGCCGTAGCTGCTAAAGAGTCATATAGAAAATAAACATTTTTTTTGTCAAAATAAAATGAAGCCAGAAGTCATAAGGGCCCACCTTCTCTGAAGAAGCACTTGGTTCAATGATGAAATGGAAGTAGGGTCTTGAAAAGAATCCTTGCTACCTCGAGATTTTAAAATATTCTCTAAGAGTATATTCTCTAACTAGTACATCAGAGAATGACAAAAGCCTGTGTTGTAAGACAATTGTTAGATACAAAAGAAGAAATTCTTTACATATTTTGCCTGGCCACCTGCATTGTTGTGGTATTGACCTGGGGAGAGAGGTGCCAACCTATGACTTCAGTTCTTGTATAGCTGTGTAAAAAAATTCAAAATGAAGTCGGATCAAAGTTACTTAAGAAATTGCCCAATAAGTCCCTTTAGTAGCTATGATTCACCCTGAAATAGCAGCATAACTTACTCAAGAAGCAAGAAAATCTCACTTACTTTGAATCTCCACAGCCCTCCGATATCTTCAGTCCTCTCAAAGCAAGTGGGCTCAAGTCCCTCATCCACACAGCATTTCAGAGAGATCAAGCCACTGACCCCAGCTCCAATTACCACCACCTTCTTTGCCATTGTCTCCTGTCAAGGAATTGACCAATCATTAGCGTTTAACTGGGACAAAAAGAAAGAGAATCCTTATGATGTGGTCAAGTAACTGGCCTTAAACATTGTATCCATGGTAATTTAGTAAGCAGCACTAATTGAATATGTAATGCCTCACTAATCAAATTCAAATCTTTTTGTCCTTTTGAGAGAAGCTGAGTTGTCTTATAGACTTCACTGCAAAACTTGTTTACAGGGTCTTTGTTTTAACATGAAAAAGCAACCATTTAATGAGACAAATTATTCAATAACCTATTAGTAGGCATATGAGCCCAGGCTCCAGTATGTTCTTTAGCTAGAATTCCAAGAATTTCCTTCTTTGCTCTTGCCCCAGCTACCATTCTTACCTTTGTTTTTGTCTTTTAGCACTGTCTTTTTGACAGAACAGCTTTCTCTGTTGGCTGTGTGGTGGCAGACCGAAGAAGAGTTTTTGAGTTGAAAGTGACTGTGAGAGATAGGAGGAGCTTCTTGCTCCTCCTTCTGCATTCCACCAGCTGAACCTCTAAGGACTTCCTTAGTCGTCCTGAGATTATGCAAGAAGCTCACATCTTGAGGTCAAGAGTAATGATGGAATGTCCTTAAAATAACAACATCTACACTTAACACTTAGCACACGGATGGTTTACATTTTTTATAATGGGTATAATAAATGTGCATTGACAAATTTTTAAAATTGAATAAATTAAAAGACGTTAAAATCATCTCTAATCTCACTATCCAGCGACAACTATAATAGTGTAAGCATTTTGGTATGTTCTTCCATCTAATTGTACATACGTGTGTACATGAACAAAAATAGAATCATACTCTAAGTGAAATTTCCAATTTCACTTTTGGTTTTCCAGTATACCAATAACTTTGTAGCTATGGGAGCATTTTAGTGGTTGCATGAATTCCCTTTAGTTGATGGGCATTTCTGTGTGCTAGGCACTGTTTGGCATGTTGCTACAGGCATATCGCTGTGCCTGTAGCAACAGATTGTTTCCCTGTTCTCATGGAATTTGCATTTTTGTTCTGGCCTGGTTCTTTCAGACTTGATGAATTCTGGATCTTAGCATACTGTGATGTGGTTACCCGTCCCTAGATCGCTCCCTCTATCCAGACCTACATCTTACCTTGATTTTCCTGCTCATGTGTGTGCCAGCTTAGATGTACCTACTGAGACTTCTAAGATCTTACTATCTATTGTCCTCTTTTGGACTTGATAAGTATAGAACAAAATTTCTTTTGTTTAAAATCTCAAATATTAGAACATTTCTTAGAAGGCTAAATCAAGAAGCTATAAAGTCCATCTGTACCTTAGATATAGTCAAAATGCTAAAGGCAAAGTACTCTTTTTCCTAACCCAACAAGACCAGTGGCTCTCTAGGGAACTTGATATTTTGCATAAATTCATTGGATAAATATCAGTCATTTCTGAGGTGCTAGACACTAAGTGCTGTAGGTGCATTTATTAAAAAAAAGAGCAAACTCCTTGTCTTTGTGGGCTTAGATTTCTAGTGCAGAGACCCTGATAGTCAATCAATAAAATAAAATATAAAAAAATAGTAGATGATAAGAGTTATGAAAAAAATAAAGCAGGGAAGGGAGGGCTTGGGAATATAGAAGTGAACTTATAATGTTCAACAAGATATTCAGCGGGCATAGTTTTCTCTGCAATTTCCCAAACTGACTGTGATTACGATGAAAGGCTTTGTCTGTCCATACAGTAAGTGCAGCAACTCTACGGGAAGAACAACAGATAACAACAAAGATAACAATGGATGACTAAGACACAAAAGAGCTGAACACATTTCTCAGTTAAAAATAAAAAGAATTGTTATTTTATTGACAGTTTGCAAATTTCGTAAATAGACTTTGAGCAATTCTCCAGTTCTCTCCCTTCTGTAATTAATTATGATATCACAGACTCCACCTTGGTAATATTGTGCCTGACCATCATACAGAGAAGAGTAAACATCTAGACAAGCTAGTGAATTTTTTTAACTGTCTGAACCCTTGGGAGGTAATAGAGGCAGATGATCTGGTTCTCCTCCAGAGGTCATCTATGTGGAGACATTAATGGCATTTTGTGCCACACTAAACACCTGTGTTCACAATAGCATGCATCAGCTCACAAATGAATCATAAAACACCTGGCCAATTTCCTATTAGTAGACTTTTACATTCCATCAAGTTTTTGGTATTATAAAAATACTATATACTTTTGGGACATCTCTTCCACATTTACCTACTCATTTTCTTGGGATAAGTACCTCAGATAGGAGTTACTGAATTAGAATGTGCATGTTTTCAAGTCTGCAGTGCTTCTCAAACTTCAGTGTGCACAGGAAACACTTGGAGATCTTGTTAAAATGCCCAAGTGGACTGAACAGATATGGAATAGCTTTAAGATCCTTTATTTCTAACAAGCTTCCCGTATTTAGACCATATTTAGAGTGGCAAGCTTCTAATACATTTTGCATATTTGCCTTCTAGGAAGCAGATATATTTTCATAGTATTTTATGTTTACGAAGTGTTTTAAATTGTAAACACATTAATTTATTTTGCTAGTTTAGCAACAGAGGCATTATCACCCATCCCTTTTTTGTGCCTATGGAGATAGGCCTGGCAGTGTTACCATACCATGTTACTAGAGAGACTGCATCACCAGAATGGCAGTCAGCTTCTTAAAACCCTGTCCACTGAAGAAACTTTTGGTGTTTAGCCTAGAGGATATGTGTTGAAATTCCATAATAATTGCTTTCAGGAAGTCTACTATATGGAAAAGGTCAGAGAAGCCCCTTCTGTGTAGAATCAAAAATCTATCTAGGACTTGTGAATCTTTCACTGTCAGTATTGAAACAGAGGTTGGGTGACCACGTGTTACTGAATAATACAGGGATCCAGGTAGCATGTGATGGTAGAATAAGTTGTTACTGTGTAACACAAGAGTCTAGCATCTGATGTCAGCCTATCATTTAAAGTTCTAAAAAAGTTTTACTTTTGATAAAGTATTCTTATCTATTTTTTCTTTGCTTTTGTTTGTGCTTTTGGTATCATATTTGTGAATTCTTTACTTACTGGGTGTTAGACTTTAACGAAATTTTCTAAAAATGCAAATTGCATGGGGTTATTTTGACAAACCAGGGTGGAAGCCATTGCTCAGAACAGGTGGGAGAAGCCTGAAGTAGAGATGGGAGGCAACCTAACCAGTCGTCAGTGAGAGACTCCATAATACCTGCCACGTCTCACTACCTATTGTTTACCAGAGATTTTCCAAGCTTTATCTGGATTAAGTTGCTTGATTGTTACTACAGTCCTCTGAAGGACTAAATTTTGTCACGGTAACTGAATGAGAACATTGATACATAGAAGAGTTAAATAAAATGTGAAAGTCACACAATAAGGAGGGCTTTGAATCCAGGCCATCTAATTCCACAGGATGTTCTTTTAATCATCATATCAAACAAACACAGAGGAAGCAGTATTGTGAGAAGCATGTGTTGAAGGATATTAATTATGATAATTAACTAAATGAGTCTATAGAACATCTGGGCTAATTCTTCTTCCTTCCTACTTCTACTCATCACTTCCTAGCACAGAGATGGGGAACAGTAGTATTTGGCTCTAGTATTAATTCTAATTCATAGAAAAAATTTCAAAGTCCTTAGAGGCATGTTCATGTTTATATTCTTCAAAACCTAGCGTACTTCCTAAACTTCATTCCCATATAACTTTTTGCCATTTCCTCAAAGTTAGCCATTTGTAGAGTCCCACAGCTCTTTTTTGAAAAAATGTAGGCTGATAACTTTTGTCTTTAATTGAAATATTTAATCTTTCTACATTTAATCTATAAATCTACCACTTATCCTGTTTGCCTCACTTGTTCTCTATTCTTCTGTTGTACCCATTTTTGGGTTAATGAACTATTTTCATTTCTTCCTTATCACTAGCTTGTTTTCTACCATTTTTTAGAAATATGCCTAGGGATTAAATTATGTATCTTTGCCTCTTTAAAATATAAAATATATTTGTATTTGACCACTTCCAAGACAATGGAAGGTATACATACCACTTTAAATTTATTTACAACCTACGCAGCTTTTTTATACTATTGTCATGTATGTTTCATTATTTTTGTGTTTAATACTTCACAAGACAGTTTGGTTATTGCTTCATACAATCAACATTCATTTAAGTTTACACACAATTTACATTTTCACTCCTTAGTATTTTAATGCTTCTATTCAAGATCACTTCATTTGGCCAAATAATTTTAATATTTCCTTTAGTGTGGGTTTTCTGGTGACTCTCTTATTCTTCTCTTTTGAGTATGAATTATTTTACCTATTTTTGGGGGGCTTTTTTGTTTTTGTTTGTTTGTGTTTTTTTATTTTTTGGTACTGGGGATGAAACTCGGGACCTTGTGCTTGTGAGGCAGGTGGCGGAACCGCTGAGCTAAATCTCCGGCCCACAAGCAGGTTTTTGATAGTAAAGCACATATCTGATGTCAGCCTGAGGAGTAGGAGATTCAAGAAAAAAAGATGGCTGCCATTAAGCTCTTGACCTTGCATCTCTCTTTCACAGGGCTCTGCTCTCCGCCTTTAGAATGTATTTCTTTTCTTTTTAATTGGTCCACACTTGCTCTGCAGAGCATTGTGTTTCTGTGCCTACCTTTAATAAATGTAAAACCTTGCTACCTTTTGTGCTTGTTTTGTCCAATTCTTTGTTGAGGACAAGAAGATCCTAGAAAGAGTCTTTAGCACTCCAGAACCTGGTAACAACAGTATGTGCATTTTCATTCAACTTGCTTTTCACTCAGTGTTCTCTTTGTAAGAATGATGTTTCTCATTTAAGCAACTTTACTTCATTTACTTTCATCATATGAAAAACTCTTTTACATAGTATTTATAATTAATGCAAACCATTTCCCTTAGAATACTATGATTATTTCAAATTTTTCCAGTACAAACAATGCTATCATAAA